GGGGGGTGGTAGGAGAGCTCGGCAGCAGATAGGCCGGGGGCTGAGCAGCAGCCAGGGCTGGGGCGCCAGCAGCAAGGGGAAGGTTTGAGAAACCCTGGCACGAAACCACCGTCCAGACATGGGTTGAGGCTGCCACAGAGTCCTTTGCCCCCCAGCACTCACGTGCCACAGGGTCCACTTCCATGTGAGGCTGGATGTTGTCCCAGTCCTGTGGCCTGCAGCAGTGGGCACCAAGGCATAAAACACCAGTGTGAGCCAGCGCCAAATGTGGCGCAGACCTGGGCTGCTGTGTAGGAGCCTTGTAGTCCTGGGCACAGCAAAACCGCTGCACATGGGCGAGTCTGTGTGCAAGAAAGGGCTGTGCAGTGGCCTGAGCGTGTGCCATGTACACGTGTGCCATGTGAGCGCACAACCACGTGTGTGCACACGTGCACATGGGAAGCAGTGTGTGTGCAAGCGATGGGCAGTATGTGTGAAGGGGAAAAGCAGGAGTGCGTGCACACGTGGGCATGCATGTGCTGCGGGGCATGTGTGTGCATGAGGGGCAATGTGGCATAAGGCATAACGTAGGGGTACATTATGTATGTGGGGGACAGTGCCTTGGCAGCTGTCCAGGCTGCCTCCCCCAGGCTCTCTCTTCCCATTGCTCTCCTGCCTTGTTTTGTCCTGGATATCGCAGCGTTTCGCAGGAAGCAGCATGACAATGGCAGTGCCCTGGCTGGGGCCCTGGGCAGAGGTGCTTTCTTAGCTGCCATGTGGAAAGCACAGGGCGCAGATGCTTCCCTGGCTGTGGCAAACCTGGTAGAGGCCGGTCTGAGCTCAAGCAGCGGGGATGTGTTTCAGCACAGGCGTTTGCCCCTGCTGCCACAAGATGGAGGCCTCCAGCCATGGCGCTTTTATCGGGGCCAGCCAGACGGTGCAGAGGGGCCAAGCTCGGCCCTGGCTGTGGGGCTGAGCTGCTGCCTCTGGCAGCGAATATACGTGCAGAAGCAGGACCCCAGCAGGCGCCAAAGTTCCCAGCAGGGATGGATCACGGAGTCTTCCCCAGCAGGCCAGTTTCAGCCCTGGGACTCTGTTCAGTTCTGGGGCCCAACTAAATCAGCAACCCTCAGTGACCATGGGGTTT